ATCTGACCTACTTTGTTTAAAGTTAGTTTGAGCATCCCACAGTCTGCAACAGCCTGTGCTATGGGCACAGTTAAAATACCCTGGTAATTATATCTTCCAGTTGACAACTTTGTACAGCAGGGGTGGGCAAAATGGTGGATCTGGGCAGCAGCTAACTCCATTTCCCAGCAAACCCTTCCTGCATGGCTGGGGCCAGTCTCCATGGAGACCCCAGCCACAGTTGTGCTGTGATAACGCAAGGCTGGGGTTGTCATGGAGACCAACCCTAGCTGCACTGGCAGGGCAGGGCAGTGCAGGGCATGGGAGTCCCGGGATCTTGTGGTGGGGGCAGTTTGATCCGAGGTCAGGGCAGAGCCAAGATCTGCAGCCTGCACGCTTGAGGCAAGGAGGTGCAGGCAGAGGATTGCAACTCTGCCCCAGCTCGGGACCACTCTGTCACTGCTGCAAGAAGCCAGGGCAGAGCTGTGATTTGCAGCCTACATGCTCCAGACAGAGACATGCAGGCAGTGGATCGTGGCTCTGCCTTAGCTCCTTGCAACAGTGACAGCGTGGTCCTCAGTCGGGGCACAGCCACGATCTGCTGCCTGCATGCCCCTTCCCTGAACATGCAGGTTGCAGATCATGGGAAGGGGTTGCTGGGACCAAGCTGCCCCTCCTGCAAAATCCCAGGGCTCCGGAGCAGCCCCCTGCCCTGCCCTGCCCTGCCATGAGCCTTGCCAGCACAGCTGGGGCTGGTTTCCATGGCAACCTCAGTCTTGTGCTATCACATTGCTGCTGTGGCTGGGGTCTCCATGGAGACTGGCCCCAGCCATGCAGGCAGGAGCTGCTGGGAAATGGAGTCCACTGCAGGGCAGATTTGGCTTGTGGGCTGGACTTCACCCACCCCTGCTGTCCAGCATACTTGGTAAGCAAACAATCCTGTCATCAGCTGACTGCAACACATTTGTGTGAGAATCCCTCATTCACTAGATTAGAGAAAATACTTGGAACATTTTAGTTACTATGCAACTGGCATAGAAAACCCGACCCCCATTTCTACCAGCACTTACGTGTCACCCAGATATGATCCAACTGAGCAGACTTATCGTCTTGTTTTGAATTTATTGATTTTATGGCCAAAACTAATTTCTTTCTGTGCAGAGGATGCTTTATTCCTAGTTCCTGTAACAACAACAGTAATAAGTAATTTGTCTTGTATATGGTAATTTCTGTCTCAGTACCAATACAGAGAAACACTGATTTTAAGTTTTACTACAAGAGACTAAACATCCTTTTGCATTAGCTATTGTATTTTGAGCTGGATTTTGAAGGTGAGCAATGGTACAAAATTAACCACTCACACCTGACTAACAGAAGCAAGTCTAGATTGCTTACCTTTTCCATGTCCTGAGGTGTTGCTGTTAAAAGTGTGTGGCCAGAGCTCACCCATTGCCGGGCAAAAATAACATACTGACCAAGACCAAAGTCCTCAAGCCAGTTGCAAACCCTTTCAGTACTCCATTGGGCAAAGGGTGCATTGGTGTCACTGAAAAGCACAAATTTACTATGAAAAATCAGGCTACTGTGAAAAGTCTACTGTGAAAGAAATCTTTAGCTTGATATGTAATAGAGATGGTGTTGTAGTTGTTAAGGTTCAGGGGTATGAGAGAGATTTAAAAATCACTGACTTACTGGTAACATTGATTTTATGGCTTGTTATAACTTACTTCTCACCCATCCCTGTTAATTTTTCTTTATATCACAAGTGATCAGATATCAGAATATCTTGGTGCAAAGTAACTCACTTCCCTTTCAAATGGTCAAATCCATTAATATATCTGGGTTAAAATAAAGCAGTTTTTCCAACCTACATGTAGCATGGAATGTGACTATTACTTTCTCAGACCTGATGATGGGCAACTGAAATCTGGAAGCTTGTCTTCAAGTTTTCCAAACTTTAGTAGTTGATCTACTAAAACATATTCCCTCAACTTACAAAGCTCATTTCAATGGCTAGGAGTGGCTTTCAACAACTCCATCTGATGAGAAGTCTGTGGTCCTTTCTTTCAGACTTGGATCTGGCCACCATCATTCATGACTTGACAGTAAATTACTGCAATGTGCTCTACATGGGACTGCCCTTGAAGACAGTCCAGAAGCTGCGGCTGGTGCAGAATGAGTTGGCCCACCTTTCAATGGGAGCAGGCATTCAGGAGCACATAAATCCAGTGCTCCGGCATCTTTACTGGCCCCCAGTAGCATTTTTAGTGCAATTCAAGGTGCTGGTTTTGACTTATAAGGTCCTAAATGACTTGGACCCTATGTACCAAATGGACACCTTCTCCTTCATGTTCCATAGTGAACCCTAACGTCAGCCAAGAACAACCTGCTTAAGCACCAATGTGCCAAGTTTGCATGCCAAAAACATGTGGTATGTCATTCTTGGCAGTCACTCTGGAATTCCTTCCCGTGAGGCCCACCAGAGCCCAGGCCTGGACATCTGCTGGAAACACTGTAGGATCTTTCTATTTAGACAGGCATCTAGAGGCAAGGCTAAACCGGGATGTTTGTGTGTGTGTGTGTGGGGGGGGGGGCAAGAGGGACTGCTCTACAGTTTTAAATTAATACTCTATTGGCTTTTATATGTGTAATATTCTACTGACTTTTAGAAGGGTTTGCTATACAAGGGCATTTATAGCCTCCCAGACCTTTCAATCAATAGTTCCATTATTCCATGTAACTGGAGGGAGGGGTAGAGGCAAGCTCCTTCACCACTTTTGGGGAAGGAAAAGGGAGTCTTCTGGAAGAGACACATACTTCAGCTACAGCGCAAGCTTACTTGTAGTTAAGCACGCTGAGCAAAATAGGCTGCATTTTCCCACATGCAACACACACCTGTGTTTGAGAGACAGAATGAAGTAAAAAAAGATTTTTTTTTTTTTTTAGACTTATGGCTGACCAGAGCAGGGACGGAGCCTAAGTTTCAGATGAATCACCCTCCATTTCCTGCTTAATGAAAACTGAGACCCTAGCTGCTACTGATGACTGGCCTCTCTGGGTAGACCTATGATTCTGAAGAAAAGCTAATCTCCATGGCTGTGAAATAGGAGTAGAGAGATGAGAAGCAGCTAAAACTGCCCAAAGAAAGGTTAGGTTAACTGATGGAACCGCTAGACTATTAAGAAAGAGAGGCAATTGTTAACACCTCTGGAGTGAAGAACAGTGAATTACTGAGGGAGTCAGCTGACTCCTTTAGTTGCTTGAACAGCAATGCAACTGTGGAGCAAGAAGCAAAGCAGGATGCTTCTATCCCAGGCACAAAATCAGCTTAATACATGCACCCCAATTTGGTGTGTTTGTGCGTGGGGGGAGGCTGATGTTTGGGAAGAGGCAAATGTTGTACACAAGAAGATACAGTAGTTCAGAACAGGAGTGTTTCACTGTACTGACAATTTAACAAGACAACATTATACTACAGAATATGCACATCAAGTAAAAAAAGGTGTTACCTCTTCTGCCCCTTTGTTTCTTTTGATCTTGACAGTCGAGGTCCAGCTGTCGCACGGAGACCACCTCTGCGGAACTCGGCCAAGCCCAGATCATCTGCAGGGAAGTTACCCGACTGAGTTCTTCTTATTCTTTTCAGAGAGCAGAACACCAAGGCATCAAATGTTAGAGTGCAACATGCAACATTTTCGTTTCATCCTGAAAATGTCATGACACCAGAAGGTGCAATGGTCCTCCAATACTTCCAAAACATAGATGCCAGAGAGAGAAAACCTTGCTCCTATATTGACATAATTTTACTTGCTAAATTTTGCATTTTAAGAAAAAAATGTTATTTAGGTATTAGGTTTATTATTTGATACCATTCAGAAAAGCTACAACAGGGGTAGGTAATCTTTTCAGGCTATGGGTCAGAATGACCCACCCCAGGTCAGAGGGAGGTGGGGCTGGCACTGGAGCCCCGAGTACTGCCAGTGCTTCTTCCTGCAACAGCCTTGGGGGAGTGCCCGCAACCAATATTTCTCTCTGTGGCAGCATGGGGAGAGTGCCCACTGCCAAAGCCCTCTGCTGCTGAATGCCGACAAAGGTCCACATCCACGGGCTGGATCTGGCCCACAGGCCATATGACCCCTGATGTAAAAGGTTGAGAATAAGACTTTTATACCAAACAGAAAGCCAAGAGATGTGTAAGTTATGCTGCTCAGTTCTGAGACTGTACCCTGATATCTCAACCATGACTATTAAATTATTTGTGACTTAAAGTAGACAAATACCTATGATGGCCCAGGGTCAAGTCCAAACTTTTATTTGCAGAAGTAGAAGACTTGTGACAAACATAAAAGCAATTACATTTTTGGCCTCTTTATTAACATGCTTTACAGGAAGAAATCAGAGGACTTCTGAATTTCTTGTTATAGCATTTTGGCTCTTTTATTAGTACTGTAATTTATTCTCTGTCTCTATGTGTGTGAAAACATCTGAGTCACATGAACACAGGAGGTTTGAGAAATGAACATTGATAAAGAATGTACAAGATCTTACTTTCCCCAGATTTTCTTGATGCCTTTTGGACTCCTTTTACAGTCTGGAGATACCGAAGACTGCAGACCTGTGTCTGTTCCAGAACAGAGGGGCGAAAGATCATCTGAAGCTATTGTACCATCTTCATTCTCTGTTTCTCCTGAGGTTAAAACAATTACATGGGATACTCTTGAGATAATACAATAAAAACACAAGATAGCTTCAGAATAATTATCTGGAAGGCAATAATTGACAAATACTAAAGCTGAGTTAGCTTTAAAAGTGGACTCATACTAAACAAATGTGACTGTGCAGAAGGTAAGAATACATGTTAGCCATACAACCAGAGACAGACTGTCAAAGCGGGATGCCCAAGAAATACTGAGCAAAAACTGAATGGAATCCCAGAGAGCTTCACTCCTAAAAGCTATCTTTGAACTAATTCAAACAATCCTAGTTCTTAAAATACAGTGAAAAGGCCAAAACCTACCGTCAATTATATCAGTATGTTCACATTATTTCACTGGAGTAGAACTTAACATGTCTTTGGAAAACCAAACTTGTGCAGCATCAATATCACTGATTTGTACAGAAACAACTAGGGGTACTGATTTCTGTCACACACTAAACAATATTAGACATAAGACATGGCTGCCTTGTGGCAGATGGCCAAGTGAGATATCTAGGATGTCAGAAGGGGGTGAGGGCCATATTGTGGCTCCATATTGCTTTACCATATTTAGTAGGACTATGCAAATTTTTGGTCGCTGATTTGATTCGGAGGATATTCAGCCTGATTTGGTGGCCAAATCTCTGCATCCAAATCTGAAGACTGATAAAAGGTCCGAATCAATCCGAAGCTTCCGAATCAAAGATTCACTGGAACCATCTCTAATTCTCTCCAATTATAATAATGTTATTCTAGGTGACACTAATGTGTGAAGATGAGACGAAATAATGGAACAATGCCAGTCAAAATTTTGCCTGTTATGATAACTATGAAATCTTGATTTGTCAAACACTATAAGAAACCATGACATACCACAGAAAAGCTGCATAACAGAGAATCCTTGTAGATTAGTGAAACCAGGAGATACTAGACTGCATACTAAATGCTAACTTATTTATAATTCTCCTTGCTCTTGATCCTTGAAATACAACAACAAAAGAAGAGAGTAAACCAGGACCAATATTTGTTGCAGTTAACCCTTGTAATTCTTTTCTAGATCCTTCCTAGATAGGGAAATGAT